CTTTGTAATACACTGATAACCACCAAATGCAGGTGGTGATGAGAAAGTCACATGATGAACCAAAGCCCATCACAAGCAACTTTTAGATAATAACATATATAGAAGGTGCACAGTGTCATTCACACAAACACTAAACACACATGAAACTGAAATAATGCAATAAACATTCATTTAACAACATTAGGTGTAACACACAACCCTAATATACAAAACTGATAAGAAAAAACTAAGAAGAAACATCAAATTTGAAATGCAACGCAGGGAATTCTGGGAATGTCAATTTACGGTTATTCACTGTAAATTATATGGTCTTTTTCACTTCCAAAAACGGTATACTACCGTAAAATTAATGTCCAATACATGTAATGTCCAATACAGTTTTTCACCTTATATAGTAGGGGTATTTACTGTTAACCATTTAACATGTTTTTACAGTAGCATTTTTACAGTCTTTTACCGTTAAATTCACGGTCATTTTTTACAGTGTACATCAAACTTTTGAAAGCTAGTGTATATATAACTAGAAAAGTTTAAGACTCAAGTATCAATATTTCACCAGTGTTACAGAATAGAAATAATAAAATTGTGTCAGGAGGTCAACTTTCATTTTATGGACCATAGTGGAAGAACACATCATTTCCCAATGCTCTAATTGATGCCAATGATATTTGGACATGTTTTGGTGCTATCACACTAGGCCTGGGCGATAAAACAGTATCGATATTTATCGACGGTACACCCTCTTCGATAACGACAGAAAAAATGTTCAATATAGTGCAGGATATAGGCACGTGCTATGAGTGACGCAGACAGCACACACAAACACGAACACATGCTGAATTGAGTGCTGTGCCTGCCTCTGATGAGAAAAAAGTAATATTAGTTGAATTTAAAATAAACATTTGCATTTGAATGCAAAAATAGTACAATCAAATGTTAGGTGTGTGTCTGGGAGCATCATCAGTGGAGCACGAGATGCGGTGATAATGATGTAAGTGACGTTGTTGCATTTTAATATTTTGTTAGTCTAGCCCACGAGACGCGCAGCTGCTGCGTTATTCATTCAAAATATTAGAGAAATATAGTAGCTCAATGCATAGAAGATCTTGATTAGGTTAAAACCGAAACCAAGCCATTCACACAGAACGCATATTCAGCGCATTTTTTAGACGGACAAATATGACTGCTGCACTCGTGTCTCACACAAGAGATGTATAGAAAGCCATGCAAAGTTAAAACAGTTTAAATGTTTATTAATGGCGATTCGGCTCTTTGGATTAAGCAATGCATAAAATCCATGATGCTGTTTTGTTCATAATTGTTTATGCAATTTACGAAATTATGTTTGATTTATGAGTTAATTTAGACGTAATGCACGTTTTTATTTTTATAGACAGTTATTTCCTTTGCGTTGGCAATTTAATGCGCTGCATTATTTTGCTCATTGTGCCCTCCTGTGGCTTCGGGAGCTTGTAACCTGCATATAAAACATTAGAAATTAGATATTTGTTTAATTTTTATTTTGTGTTTGACTGTTAAAACAAAAAAATATTTGTTGTTTTTCTCAATAAATTGGGTTAATTTAAAAATACAGTGGTTAAATTTAAACGTTTTTTTCTATTGCTTTTTGTTTTAAAAAAGGTTATAAAAAAATGTCAATAATTATCGATACCGAACGATATGAAACATTATATCGTTGATATATTTTTTAGCTATATCGCCCAGCCCTGTGCCACACCAACAGTGTTTAGTTTCAGATTAAGACACTTTCATACCTTCCGGTGGTTGATATTCCCCAGACTTTCTCTGTGCCTGTAGTTTCATTCTGCAGGGTTCTTCGGCTGAAACCCAGACCGACTCTGTCATAGGTGCACACCTGAGAAACAAATCACAGATCAAATGTCATGAAAATGACAGCAGGAGAAACCTCACCTGACACTCAAAAAAAACAAAAACCTCACTGATAATTCCTTTAGGAAATGTCATCCGCAAATTTCAATATTCACAATGTTGCACAATTTCACTATCGAAATCATCAACTCATCTTAATCATCGATTATCACATGTTTTCTACATCGTCTGGCTCTACTGGACAGTCACTGTGATGCAGGCCATCAGCAGGAATCTCCAGCACTTCATGACTAAGTTTGTTCTGACAGCATGTCACAGAAATGCTTCACCGCCTCACTGCCTTGACTTACTAGAGTAATACAGCAGCACATGCTCTGAAAGCTGAAGTCTTATAACTTCACTGGAGAGGAAACTCAATAATGCCTTTATGACTCTCATCAATGACAGCTGTGGTGCTGCTTTGTTTATTTAATTTAACACGACACTAGTGCATGGCTTTCTCTTATCATCTCCTTAATGGAGGAGTTTTAATAAGCTCATTCTAAACAGCAAAAGCTAATTTAATCATGTTAAGTAAGTGTTTTTTGTTTTGGAATCACATGCATAAAACAACACTACTACCTAAAAGATATCACTGAAATAGGAGTCATTTTGCAAATGTAGGTTTAATGACATGCCACATAGATGTGAGCTTGTGAATTATACAACATGCGACGAGAATAAGACTAGGCAACAATAAAGTCATAGTCAGATAGCAACCATCAATCAGTTGTGCTGTACTCGCTGACTGCAAGAAAAAAAACACACAGTACAGTACAACAAGCTATTCAATTCGTAAAATAAAACACTCAGTTACTCAATCAGTCAAACTGATTGGCAACTCATACAGAAGAGTCACGAACAAATCATGATTTTTTCAGTAACTTACGAAAATGTATTCTAACTGTACGAAAAATTGTAGAAACAACAAACCACACAGATGCAAAAATCAATTACTTTAGGTGGCCTTATAATCATGTTAGGATTAAATTTATACACAGATATTTCATCTTAAATATATTTCATCATATACAGTGAAAAAGCTACGCCGTCACTAAACGCTTTTTAGATATACCTCTGTGCTCCAGAAAATTATTACTGATAAATCCTTATCTGATGATGGAGATTAACATATACCGACCTGAGAATCATTTTCCATGTCAATATTTCAGCAATTACGTCATATGTTTCTTATCACCTGTTTAGAATCAGATCTAGCAATGCCAGATTCATAAATGAATCACTCTTTTTATCTAATTGATCAAACAGGATTGCAAGAAGGTTTTTTGTTGCAGTTTGTTTGAACTAACTTTTGTCGATAATGAGAGACTCTCCTGCACATAATACCAAACATCTGAAGACATCCCTGCTGGAGCATCAAGAACAACTGAAACAAAAATGAAACATCGTTTTCACTGTGTACAACCCACAATATAAATATCAGATTTTAGATGAGCTATTCTTTTAACCTACCAACAGGTTGCCCGTGTCCTTTGCACAACAGATAGATCTTTTGGCCGAGGCCGATATCAATCAGCTGAGCACCTACATATAGAAAGAAATATTAAATCAAATGAGATGAAAAGTTGTCAAACTGCACATGATCCTAAAGTCTTCCTGAAGAGATGATGAGGTCTCACCTGCGGATGACAGCACTTGTCCCTCTCTCTGCAGGGAGGCGTAGTTCAGGAAAGCTGGAGTGAAGATGATGAAGAGCAGAACCTTCAACCAGAAGGACACAACAGTCCAGCAGCTCCTCTGAGACACAGTCACCCCAGAGTCCTCTGAAGTCTGTGACGGAGTTGAAATTACATGTCAAGCAGTGACAACAGTGTCCAGGGACATGGTATAATCCAACTAAAGTATATTTTTTCAAATATTGTATCATTTTTATTATATACATACAGTTTTTATACTGATACACCAACATATCAGCCATTTTATATTATTTGCATCATCCAATAACCCTTCTATCCGTTTCAAAATCCAACAACAGCCTTGGCAACATACTTATTTTTGTTTAATTTTGCAAACATGCAGCCACAGTTTCAAATTATTTTATTTTAATTTATTCCCAAAGTGTTTGTTTATTCATTACGTATTATAATTAAACTATTATTATTTTTATTATTATTATTACATAATTTAGAATAAACTATGTCAGAGCAGGGTATTTACTAAAAAAAATGGCACAATGAAAAGTTAACAAATAGGAATACTATGATTCTTTCATCGATTCTTATTCACTGTGTGCTTAGAAAAATGTACCATAGTAATACTACACTGTAAAAAAATTACCGTAAATTTAATGGTAAAAGACTGTAAAAATGCTACAGTAAAATCCTGTTAAATGGTTAACGGTAAATTCCCCTACTATATACGGTGAAAAACTGTATTGGACATTACATGTATTGGACATTAATTTTATGGTAATATACCGTTTTTGGAAGTGAAAAAGACTGTATAATTTACAGTGAATAACCGTAAATTGACATTCCAAGAATTCCCTGCGTTACATTTCAAATTTGATGTTTTTTTGTTGAAATAACTATGTTTCTTCTTAGTTTTGTATATTAGGGTTGTGTCTTACACCTAATGTTGTTAAATGAATGTTTATTGCATTATTTCAGTTTCATGTGGTGTTAAGTTTTTGTGTAAATGACACTGTGCACCTTCTATATATGTTATTATTTAAAAACTGCTTGCGATGGGCTTTGGTTCATCATGTGACTTTCTCATCACCTCCTGCA